TACCCATTTAAGAGCCAATAACTGGTCATAAAAACCTTGATTTCCAGGCGCGTCCTCCCGATCCCCGTATAAGAAGCCAAAGTGAGCTAATCTATAGTTTATGGACACAAACACCACATCATATGTGACTAGTGGTCCGCCACCATACATATCACTCGACCCCCATCTCAGACCCCCGCCGTGAATCCAAAACATGACTGGTTTTAGTGCCGGTGCTTCGGATAACTGCTCATTGTTTCGCACATTAGGTGTCCATATGTTTAGTACCAAACAGTCCTCACTTTGATTACTGGGTGAACTCATTCCCGGAACCCCCGATTCTTTTTGCATACACCCATTGCCATACTTAGTTGCATCTATTATATTCTTTTAATAACACAATTATTTATAAATTAATTCATTAATTATGTATATTTTAAACTTACTTCTGATGGCTTTTTAATTGGTTGTGGTTTTGCGAACCTAAGAGTACCCACTGGGGGTTCGGCGTAAGGTATACCCAAAAATTGAAACACATTTGTATTGAGCACTTGTATTGTCTGACCCCTCACTACACCCGATGTAGTTTTCACATCAGTCCCATTGTCACCATTGGATGACATATTAATTTTACAAATTTACTTGTGAACACTATTCATAAAATGACAATAAATGAATAAACTAACTTTTTAAAAATATATGTTATTACATAATGTTACTGCAAAGTGTGATTATAACTAACGCACTAACACTGCACTGAATGCACTAAAATATGTACTTAATTCACAATAAGTGATCTTTTCCTGATAAAACATATTCAAACACTTATCCAGAATAACCTTCAATTGCAGTAATTACAGTGTTGCAGACTACCCATACTTTTGAGTACATCAGCACGGAAATAACAATTTTTTAGATTCTTGTCTTTTTACAAGGTTAAAATGTATTTTTACTATTTTACAGTATCGTTGGCAAAATTATATATGAATTGTATTACAAAAGTTATCGCGAGCAAATTTAAAGCCTTTTTAAGTTTATTCAAAGAAAAATAAAATAGTTTTA